TATGAATCAGAAGCATGTTCCGGATCCGACCAGGCTTGCATTTTCGATCCACTTGCAGCCGACGATTTGCGTGAACTCAATGTTCGTCTACCTAATTTCCTAGTCTTTTTTTTTCATAATTTTGATGCATTTTCACATATTATGCAAATGCAAAATCGTATATTGGCAAGAGGTTGTCAGTCTGTAGGTGGGTCTGTGTGTGTTCACATATTTTATCATCAACTCTTAAGTCGAGAACCAGAAAAGCTAAGAAGTCGGAACTTCGGGAGCATGTTCGCACCCCAAGTGCGACTCCCCGGTTTTAACATTATCTTTCACACACTTTGGTCTCACGTACAGGTGCCTAAAAGAATGTGTTTTTTTTTCCGGTTTCTTTGTGTAAAATATGCATTGATTTACTTTAACGAGTACACACAAGATAAGTGTAAAGCAACAACCATTCATATAGTTAAACGATCCGACTGCTTCAAGTTCAGGGCAAAAACGTATGATCACACCGACACGCTTAGTGCGTTCCAAACTAAGTTTCAGTCCTATAGCATTTTCTCCCTCCAAACGCAGTTCGTTTCCTCTGTCGATTAAAAAGCAAAAAGATCTGTATCCAGTGCGAATTATCACATCGATCACTGGAAGTAAGAGGAAGGGATGAAACACAGACTGCATCGTGAAATGTCTTCTTATACATGACACCTAATTCCAATCTTCTTACTCCACTGCTCGTAGTGTGGAATGGAATTTTTGTGCGCTAATACAGCTGATGGAGGGGGTTACGTATGCGGTGGTGATTTATTGCAACGAGGTCGGTGCTGGCAAACAAACTGCGCAGGGCCTCAAGTATATGCCAGGAAGATCATTTCTGGCATACACTTCTGGCCCCCCAACAAATTTCTGCGTGTTTGCAGGAGATGTATCCGGATGCAGTAGCACCGCTGGATGGTTGCAATGTGTCGGGCTATGTGGCTGCCGAACTTGCATCTTTAAGCCGTGGGCCTGCGTATCAGTACGTGGAACCGCTACTGTGCCAGATCTTAGGTACCAGGATACCGGCTGTGAACTGTGCCCGTTACG